TGTTCGTGCAATTAAATATTTAGAAAGGATGTTGGTCCAAGCACAAGCTGAAAAGCAACGTAGAAAAGCAGATAGTACAAAAATTAATCCTGATGAATTGAAGGATGATGATGAAGATAAAGGAATTAGTATTGATCCTAAAACATACTGTAAATTAGGACATTTCCATTTACTTTTAGAGGATTATAGTAAAGGTAATTAATTATTTATAGTATTTTAATATTTTTTTTCATGTGTAGTGTTTTAATATTTATGTTTATTGCAACAGCTATGTCTGCATATCAAAAATTTTACTCCTTGAAAGGGGACTACTGGAAAGATGCTTCATTTTTATATGGACAAGGACTTGTCTATTACCACTTCAATGCTTTTCAGTGGTAAGTGATAGTAACATAACTATTTCATTTAATATTTATTATTTTATTTCATGTTTGTTTTTCATTATTCTGCATGCATATATGTTTTGATATTTGCAATAATTCATTCTGTTTCTTCTTTGAATACAGAATGACTTTATTTTTAATTGTAAATATGTAATCATAAAATTAATATTTGCAACGTTTTTTTACATTTAAGTAAAATATAAAAACGTTCACATTAAAATACTTTAGAAACTCATATTGAAACACAACATATACTTTTGTATTGATTTTTCAATGGTCACCACGAGCATTAAAGTATTAGATACTTGTAAATATAAAAAAATAACCAATAATTTAAAATCTTTAATGAATATGCAGTTTGAAGAAGAAAAGTATAACAGTGTGCATAAAAATGTTTCCACAGAAAAATGTAATCTCTCATGAGAGTTGTTCACCTTGAAAAGGGGACGTCGGCCCCTTAAACGATGTACACATAGAGTTCATCGTTCTTACCCTGTATTCTCTATTTTTTCTTTAATTTCGTGCAACATCCTGTTGGTAATGTGACGTTGTTTCTTAGTGTCGGTAAAGTGGAGCACTATAAGTTTTGGTAAAGTAGATCACTTCTAGTAGTTACTAAATGTGTTATTAGTAAATAAATTCAACAACAGATGTCCTTGATTTCGCTGCAATGAAATAGCGGGATGTGCTTACGTGCCGAGTTGCTAGATGCTTATGGCGACTATGTAAGCGTAAGGTAGGGAGAAATAATAGGTCACGCATGTCGTATATTTGTTTCGATGGCCAAAATGATAATTTTGACTTTTAGCATATTTTATTTAAAATCACAGTACTGAATTATTACCGTCATTATCTCTTACATATTGACATAGATATTGTGATTTTTAAAGGATTTTTTGTTATATATTACAAATATAGTATAATTTTGGTATGATTTTTAGAAAATAGAAAAGTTAACGAAATTATTTTTTGTTGAGGGCAAAATTATTTTAAAGACATGGATTTTTGTATTGAAATTATGTCAGTATATATCTATCGATTGCAGTACGCTTTCAACCGCTTTAATAAAATTATTCCAAAATTATAATTAAACCTTAATCGACGTCAGTTATTTCGAGTAATGATATATTCGAATTTCGTTACGGGCTATCGTACATGAATAGTATAACATACAGCATTTGCAAATTCATAAATTGAATCGTTTTCATTCATTCTCAATCAGATACTTCCAAATAGCCCAAAAGATTGCAGCACCATATCACTTAATGTGGTTATGTTCGGCATTCTTGATTGGCGTTTGTAGCCAACCAGGTCAAAAGTTTCACATTTTATATTGTACAAATTAAAGATGCGTTAAAAGAATAACGTTATATGTATATATAATATTATGCAAAGTGTACACTGTGTGTTTTTATGTAACCGATCAATTTGACTTGTAACAGATCAAGCGTAAGAATTCATAATTCGGTATAAATACATGACAGATATTGTTGATTTGACATTTTCTGTCAGGCAATCGGCTTTGTAGACGGTTGGGAGTGGGAATATCGATTTCCTGTTCAACCCTCCTTAACCCGGATGGTGCAAGATTTCCGTGGAACGAAGCTCACTGAGGACTCCCTTTTGATGTTTCAGCATTCCATTCGACTGCGGTACCACATAACCGTTATCAACTTCTGTGATTGAATTTTCATTATTTATCCTTACCAGAACCTTGTCAACTATCTTTTTCGATTACGTATAACCAAACGATTGTTTCAAATAAAAATCTAAATTGAAGAAACGAAATATCGTAAAATCGTAGTATTCAAATTTGTATATTCAATATATTCGATTTATTACACTTTTCTTCCAAATTAACGAATGATGTTATATTACTCATATCAGATATCAAAGATCGAGTTTCATAGTAATTGATTATATACATTCGCATATAGCAATAAAGTTTCGACGATAAAAGTCCAACCCGTTAGAAAGCCACGCGTTCGAATGCTTTTTCATCTGGTTTGTGATTAACGTAGTAGTCGCTGTGTGTTTCACGTTAGCCCTTTTCAATACATTTCTTACCATGGATCATGTGTTCTGAATAATCCAATTCGTATACGTATTTTATTTTCGTGAACACATTGGGCGCACACTTATGCAGTTCTTCGTTATTTCTATGTAGTACAATATAATCGTTTCTACAATGTTTTACTTCTTTCCTTCTTTGCTTCGTTACATTAGATTATGTATCGATACTTGCATAACCGGCGACCAACCTAACCTAACTTGACGATTTGAAATTACACGTAAACTAACAACTGTACGAAAAAGTGTACGAAGCAAAAATTGCACGATTTTGAAGGGGGACATATGATAGAATAATTAACTCTTTTCAAGTTTAGTAGAAAATTGTTTGACACACAGAAGTCATTACAAAAATTATTAAGATGCTAAGAAAAAATTATTCGCTATTAAAATTATTTCATCGATAAAATTACTCACAGTATATTTTTACTAATACATAACACTAACTTTGCCGAGGAAATTGTAATTTAAATCGTCTAATACTTTCTATACGAACATAACGGGTGTCTTAATACTTACGAACTGCAGTGTGTGTATACCTCTCGTGTTTTACGTTCCGTGTAGATTAAAGTTGGTAACCTTGAGACGTCAAGCTTAGCTATGAAACCTTCATGCAAAGTAATAATAGTGTTATATCATAGTAGTTTTCTATTAATTAACGTTAGATAAAGGGTTGGTGTCGATTGTGGCATTTCTCTGAAGCTATTATCCAGAAGAAACGACAATTACACGTCGATAATGTAGAAGGGTAGAGAGTATCTTTCGTTTTCATCCAATTCGATAAACTGCAGACATATTCAACGGGTGAAATTGAACGGAAAATTCTCTCTTTGCGGATGCGTAAGACGGCTTCCTTGGATATATTCGGTTTCAAAGCATCCGTTCAGGTGTGCATAGTAGGAAGTACGTAACAGCAATTATTTTGTAGGCCACCTGAATGAAAAGACTGAATTACATGCAAGTACATTTTGCACACGACCACTGCTAATGGATTTGCATTTGTGCAAAATAGCATGAAGCCAGGACTGCTCGAGCGTCCCTTCTCTTCTTTTCTTTTCATTGTCTGTAAAAAGGTTACCATGTAACAAAGTTAATTATACATATAAAGCAGGTAGCTTTGGAAATATATTCAGTCAGATGATTACATTTTATCGAAATGATCGAAAAATTTATATAGATTCGTACAAAATATTAAGAGTATTAATTTAGATTCCTTTGAATTGTGCAAAAAAAAATTTCATAGAAAAATTTTCTTTTCTCTTTTTTTTT